GCAAACTCCCTTTCCACCTAGGGATTCAAATCTTGTCCCCTTCTACCAGAATTTAGTTTGTAATTTAATTTAGAACTAGATCAGAGCAGGGATACAGGTGCTTCCCTGTGGCTGGCTACAATGAAATTAGTGATCAGAGCTCTGGAACTTCACATTGGTAGTAGGGTCTGAGATTGATAATCTCCCCTCTCCAAACCACACAAAGAGTCCAGCCAGTAATGCAAAACAGAAGCAGAGTTTATTCAAGCCAGCTAGCTGGGGTCAAGCTCTCAGGCACACAGGCCAAAGCAAGACCCTGAGCAAGGGGGATGCTTCAATTTTTATAGTCAGTGTGTGTGTCATAGCCCATGGTTACAGTTTCAATGGGAGATATAAGTAAAAATACAAGTTCCAACCTAGTTTCAAACAGCACAATGAGCCGTTACAGACAGGTCTTCTTATCCTGATAATTTCCCGGCCATTCTGGCAGTTGTTCCCTCCTCCCTTGCTCCCATCCGGTGGTTTCTGGGAACCAGGGCTGAGCTATCAGCCCTGGGAGGAAGAAGCAGAATTCTGAGAACCAAGGCAAGTTATCAATCCAGATGTCCTTCTTTGGCAGACGGCCTGGGGAGGGGCGGGAAGAGCACAACCCCTGAGAAAGCCGAACTGTTGAGAACCACAATTCATTCAGAAAAACAACATGTGGGACAGGGAAACGCAACAGGAGGCATGGAGCAGGGACTTCAGGAATGGAGTCCGTCATGGAGTCTGTCAGGTCTGGCTCCGTATCCAACATTCCCCCCTTTTCTTTTTTGAAACTGAGGAATCATCCTCGGTGTTTACCCTGTGAAGCTGCTCAGATTGCTGTCTCAGCACAAGGAGCTGGACAGTATTAACCCGGTCCCTTACAAATGCCACCAGCCTACTCAAGACACAGGGTCCTATAGTGAGCAGTAGGAGGAGGAGGAGCAGGGGCCCCGCCAGTGCTGACAGCATCATGGCGAGCCATGGCGACTGGTTGGGCCACAACTCGAACCAGCCCTCTTGGACTTCCCTACGGCAGTCAGCAGTCACTGTACCTTTCGTAGGTTTTGCAGTTCCTTTCCTTCCGCCGACCAGAACCCACGCTCTATATATATCATCCCGTTCACATGCACAGTCCTGAACGCATACTGGCTGTTTGTGTACACTGTCACTCACTTCCCCTCTGCCCTCTCCAAGGCTTCAGCCAGGCCTATGAGTTCTGCCCTGTGGGCGGAGGTTCCTGGTGGCAAGGGGGGAGCTCCACACCACCACCCCGTCCTGGTCCACTACCGCTGCTCCAATACCCCATTGTCCACGAAGCTGCTTCCACCCATGAATCATACCAAATCAGAAATGGGGAGCTTACTGTCCTTCAGATCCGGCCAGAGTTGTGAAACTTTGGAGAGAATTTCCCGGCATTCATGGAGATTCCCAAATCCGGGTGGGCAGGAACGTTGCAGGATTGAGTGCGGTGGGTTCTGCAAAAGTGAGTCTAGGGGAATCAATCAGGAGCCCCTGAGGATGAGTTAGTTTGGAGTTTGTCATCCACCTTCCAGGGGGCTGCCGTAGCACTCTTTCAAAGGCATGTGGAGTGATCAGTTTCAAGTCCTGCCCAAAGGTTAATTTATCTGCATCCTTGACCATAAGGGCAACCGCTGCTAAAATCCGGAGGCAAGGAGGCCATTTGGCAGCAACAGGGTCCAATCTTTTTAACAGATAAGCCACTGGCCGCTTCCATGGCCCAAGTTGCTGGGCTAATTCTCCTTTGGCTATCCCTGCCTTCTCATCCACAAACAAGGTGGATAGTTTTATGGGGTCTGGTAAAGACAGTGAGGGGACCTCAAGGAGGGACTCCTTAAGTCCCTCAAATGCCCATTGGCGTTCTGCAGTCCATTCCCACGGGACCCCTTTCCTTGGTGGCTTCATACAAGGGCCGGGCTATTTCAGCATAGCCGAGTATGCATAATCGGCAAGACCCGGCTGTCCCCAGGAACTCCCTGACCTCTCGCAGGGAACTGGGAGTAGAGATTTGAAGGATAGTTTCCTTCATTGCCTCTGTCAGTCACCGTGCTCCCTCACTTATTTTATATCCTCAGTATGTCACAGTCCTCTTGGTAGTCCACGGATATATTTTAGTCCCGGTTGCTCCTTGAACTATGGTAGTCCTCTCTGTGTGCTTATTCAGAACTGACTATTGATTGGGCTCTCGTATCTAGCATTATTCCTACAGGTTTCCCCTCCACATAGATGGTTATCCAAGACTCGGGAAGGGAGTCCGAGCCCTGTTTTCCCTAGTCTTCCTTCTCTGCACCGGCCAGGAGGTATCTAGTCCTCTCCACTACCTCTGTCTTCTTTCCTAATCCGGTCCTCTTGCTCCTTGGGAGTCTCCTGAGTGTGAAAGACTTTCTCTTCCACCTTCATGATGTCCCTAATCAAGAGGTCCCTGGTATAGGAGCTCTTCTAGCTGACCTGTGGTATAATTTCTGGGAGGTCACTCTATAGTTCTAGTTACAATAGGCTCGATAGGTCCCTGAACAAACACACATCCCAGAGTGGGTCATAACTGGCAGAAATCAAGGTCAGTTCTTCCTGTCTCAGCATCAGAATGTATCCAGTGCCAAAACAGGGGCAGCTACAGAGCTTGCTCTACAACTGTCACATAGAGCATACAGAAACAGAATAACCCATGGCCTTTCCATGGTTCCTTTAAGTCACTTTCACCAGTCTCTTATCTGGAGGGGTTCATCTCTTGTTGTCTGGACATGCCTCTGGTCAGTGTTGTTTTGTCTCCAGGGGAGAGTCAGCTTTTTGATTCCGTTCTCCTTCAGAGCAGTCCGTGTGGTCAGGATTACAGTACAAGGACCTCTCCACCAATCTGAGCGAGTCCCATGATCCTCTGTGAAAAATAATTTCTCTTGCCTTCCTTATCTCAGCGCCTCAACTGAGCATTCGTACAACACCTTTGAAAGTGGCCTGATTTCCTGCAACTAAAACATTTATTCCTACAATTGAAACATTTATCGTGAGCTTGTCTCTGCATCGCATAGATCTCATTCACCTGTACCTGATGTTTAACAGATCCAACATTAGAACACCTCTTCATGTACCCCTTTATGTCTTCTTTTTCCATAATCAGTCGCAGAACAGCCTGACAGTCCTCATTAGCATTTTCAAACGCCAGTTGTTTTCAGCTGGTTTTGCTGAGTCACTTTACACTTAACCTGCCTCTCGGTTGCATCTGTCAACCTTCCTATAAAGTCTGCATATGGTTCTGTGACTCTGTGGACAATTTTTGTACAGCTTCCCTTAAATTTGGCATCTGTATCAATCTTCTCCCAGCCCACAGGGCAGCCTCATGGACATGAGCAAAAACAGCACGAGACAAGGTGACTTGCCACAAGGTCATACCATTTCCCTTTGCCTAGTAACATCTCATAAGTCAATTTGATCCCTGAAAATTTCACCCAGAATGACCTAGTTCATGAAGTTTTGCCTTGGCCTCATCAATGAACCACATCCTCCACTGCATGTGCTGGGAAGGGCTGAAGCACATTTTAGTGACCATATCAAAATCTTGTGGTACCCAACAGGCACCTTTACTACAGCTATTAAGATATTCCTTGCAGTATGGAGATGTGGGTCCATATGAGGCACAGGACTTTTTTAAATGACTGAGGGAATCCATTCTTAACCCTTCATAAGATGGGTCTGATCTGTCTCCAGCTGAATGGGGAAGAAATGACGAAGCTCATGTGGTCTGGGTAGAATCAATCACTTACCATCTGATAAAGGTCTTAATATAATTAAACTTCTACTGGGGACACGTCTCAAGGTCTGGAGGCCGCTTGGCTGAGGACCAGTGGTTTCTATGGGGGGGTTCTCTACTGGGTCGCTCTCAGACTCAGAGTCTGAGGAAGTGGCAGCTGGATTATCATCCACATCACTTTCATCTGGTGTGCTGGGAGCAGTATCATACGGAGGAGATAGGGGTCTCTCTGGTTTGATGCCAGTACTAGGGAACGTTAAATCAGCAGCATCAGAAGAAATCCTGTCCTGAGAGTATGTTTTCACTGGGAAAGTGCTTCTTGTGAGCTTTGGATAGGGAAGAAGTCAAGGAAACTTGACTATGTCATGGGGACTTTATTTTTTTTTATAATAAGATGATTCTGCTGGAGTTTCAGTTTGAGGAACAGGCTCCCAGCTCTTTTTCCTCTTATTTGTGAAACTTTGAAATTGTTAATTATGATTTTCTTCTTGAATATAGCTAAAGATAACTCATAAAGAATTCAGCTTGACTTATTCACTTTGATCTTATACATATTAATTTTATGTTCTGTGCTTTATTTTGGGAGAGACATACAGGAGGATCATGTGGTACTGGGGTCAAACCCAGGGCATCTGCCTGCAGATTTGTTTTATTTGTTCGTTTTATTTTGTTTTAAGATTTTTTTATTGAATCACTGTGAGATAGACCCTTACAAAGCTGTTCATGAATAGGTTTCAGTCATACAGTGTTCCAGCACCCATCCCTCCACCAGTGTCCATTTTCCAGCACCAGTGTCCCCAATTTCCTTCCCATCACCATCCACCCCAACCCCGGCCTGCCTCTATGGTAGGCACTTTCCTTCTCTCTCTCTCTCTCTCTCTCTCTCTCTCTCTCTCTCTCTCTCTCTCTCTCTCTCTTTCTGCTTCAACCCTTTGAGTGACCTCCATACCTCACTGTGCCGTTTTGCTTACTACTGTGAAGAATTAGCCTCCTAGTTTTCAAATATCCTACAGAGCGCATTTGTGGAAAAGAGAAGCGTGTCCATTTTGTAGATTCTGTGCTTGAATATTTGAAGGCACAGCTGATCAAAGATACTTGGGAATAGTAGATTTGTGTGTTTGCATGTCACAAAGGACAGGGTTTTTTGTATGTACTGTGGATGTAGGAACAAGCTTTGAATGTAATTCACCTGCTGTACAACTCACCTATGTTATGATTGTTTCTCTGACAGGGAAAAAAGGATGTGACACAGATATTTAACAACATCCTGCGAAGACAGATCGGCACTCGGAGCCCGACGGTGGAGTACATTAGTGCTCAACCTCACATCCTCTTCATGCTCCTCAAAGGGTAGGTGCATGGCCTCTTTCCAGGCAGCTTGGAGCCTAGGGTCCTGATGAAAAGTGTGTCGCATCAGTCTTGAAGATATGACAGGTTCTCGTGCAGGGAGTGTTGGTCATGCTTGAGGTCAGTTTTCCAAAGCGGATTCCCTGGTTACTCAAGCCATAGCAAAATGGTGTCTTTTTATCCTTTGATTCCTAAAGTTCTTCCATTTATGTGTCTCTACTTTCTTCTCGTCTGTTTCTTCTGTTTTATTAGTGCTTATGCTTCCCAATCTGCCTTTTTTTTTGGTAGCTGCTCAATTGTCCTGTTGTTTGAGACCCCCTCATTACACACAACACACACAAACACACCAGTGAGTAATGTCTGCCAAGGTGGCGTGGAGGTAGAGTAAAAATTATTGTACAAACTGTCATATTGTTCTTATATTATTGCATATGTGGAAAGGAGAGCCAAAATGCCAAATGTCTAGGAGACAGTAGAATCCCCAATCATATAGTTAATGAATTCTAATAAATATCTGGGAGCAGTTTAGGCGACTCTTACCTCCTTAAGACTAGAGAGGTTCCACTGCAAGGCAAGTGTTTCTCATGTGACAGGATGGCCCAAAGATTCTGGGTCAGCAGGGCTTTTTTCTCTCTTCGGCATGCGATTCCCAAGCATATTTTGTTCACCGCCACCTCATGCCTCAGTGAGGAAAAAGTACATGGGAGAGTGTGTGAGCTACACCTGGAAATGGCATAAGCACCTCCAACTCACATTCCACTTGGAGGTACTTAGTTACTTGGACCCTTAATCCTTTTTTTTTCCCCTCCCTCCTACCCCTGAAACCTTGCTCCTTGACAGATACGTTTTATTTTATCTTACCTTTTGGTGAAGCAAGATACTTTTTTCTGAAACTTACTTAGATGTGAAGGGAGAGAAAGAGAGAAGTCTGTGTTAAAGAGAGAACATGAATTTCTCCAGAGTGGAAATGGGCAAAAAAATATTGAGACAAGCAAGATACGTGTTGAAGAGAGAACACAGGCTTGAAGAGGAAGTCTGCCCTTTATTTTTTGTTTGTTTGTTTGTTTAGTTTTTTAGTTTTCAAGCCACACCCAACAATACTCAGGGGTTACTCCTGGCTCTGCACTCAGGAATCACTCCTGGCAGTGCTTGGGGAGCCATATGAGATGCCAGGGGTTAAACCTGGGCCAGCCACATATAAGGCAAGTGTCCTACCTCCTGTACTATCGCTCCAGCCCCAGCCCCTTAATTTCTTGTTTTTTTTTTTTAATTTAATGGGTTGGAGCGATAGCACAGCGGGTAGGGTGTTAGCCTTGCACGCAACGAACATGGCTGACCTGAGTTCAATTCCTCCGCCCCTCTCAGAGAGCCCAACAAGCAATCTAGAATATCTTGCCTGCACAGCAAAGCCTGGCAAGCTCCCCGTGATGTATTCGATATGCCAAACACAGTAACAAGTCTCACAGTGTTACTGGGCCCGCTCGAGGAAATCGATGAACAACGGGGTGACCATGACCGTTTTTAATTTAATATTTTATTTTTAAATGAAACCATAAGATAGAGTTAACAGACTTACAAACTTTTGTGATTACGTTTCAGTCATACAATGATCGAGTACCCATCCCCCTACCAGTGCCCATTCTCCACCACCAATGTTCCCAGTATCCCTCCCAGCACCCCCACCACATCCCCGTTCACACACACACACACACACACACACACCGCCACCTCTGTTGCAGGCACATTCCCTATTCCTTTCCTCTCTCCCATAAAGAACCTATCTAGTCCATCTCTTTTATTTTATTTATCTAGTTCCCAAAGCCCCTTTATTCTTAATGGGGTCAAGAAATAAGAGTGCAGGGGGGGGTAAACTCTAAATAATAGTGGTGAATCTTTTAATGAAACAATGAATCTAATCAAAGCAGATAGAGTGTTAACTAGAATTCATCTGCCTCACAGGGACTGGGAGGGGTGGGGGGTGGGGTCTTATTGGGGTTCTTCATGGTAAAAAATAAGTATTGGTAAAGGGAAATGTGTTTGATATTTGCATGACTGAGACCTAAACCTGAAAGCTTTGTAACCTTTCCCACAGTGATTCAATAAATAAATAAATTAAAAAAAAAAAAGAAATAAGAGTGCAGAAAGGAAAGGAAAATATTGGGCAGCTGGTGGGCAACTGACATTCTCTGTCATATATTATTTCTGAGCAAATTTTCCCCTCCATTTTCTGTTCTCACTTTCTAGGTCACGTATTATGTTAGAGTTAAATCTCTGGAATTTACTTTTTATCTCTCCTATTTCCTAGTTCTTTGTCTTTTTTTTTTTAACTTTTCAGGTGTTTCTGGTTTTACCTCTGACTAAAGATAAACTCTTTTGAATTTTCATTTTATCTTTAATTTATAAGACTTACAAACTTGTTGGTTCTGTAATCTTTGTCAAGCCACTTCATCTGTCTAAGACTTGGTGTCTTTATCTGTAAAATAAGAATAATATTATAACATTGCCTTTACACCAAGAGTGCTGCATTATACGCCATTGATTATGCATTGTCAGCAGACCTTGAACAAGTTATCTAAGATAATCTAACAATTACCTAATGTCTTAAATATGTTTTTGTTTTCTTTTCATAATATGGAGACAATAACATTAGCTACTTTGGTAGGTTGTTAGAATTCTCCAGTGTAATGATAGAATAATTATAATTTAAAATAATGATTAAAATTATTGTTTTATTTATTATTTAAAAATAAATTAATAGGGGCTGGAGTGACAGCATAGTGGGTAGGGCGTTTGCCTTGCACACAGCCAACCCAGGTTCGATTTCCAGCATCCCATATGGTCCCCTGAGCACCGCCAGGAGAGTGCATGAGCCAGGAGTAACCCTTGAGCATCGCCGAGTGTTACCAAAAAGCCAAAAAAAAATTAATAAAAATAAAATATATCTGTCAAGGGAGCAAAAAAACAAATTATAATTTTAAATAATAAATATTATTTAAACCATGGTCACGGTCCTTCCGCTGTTCGTCGATTTGCTTGAGCGGGCCCAGTAACGTCTCCATCATGAGACTTCTTGTTACTGTGTTTGGCATATCGAGTACGTCACGGGTAGCTTGCCAGGCTCTGCCATGCGGGTGAGATACTATCGATAGCTTGCCCAGCTCTTCAAGAGGGGCGGAGGAATCGAACTTGGGTCGGCCATGTTGGCCACTTGTAAGGCAAACATCCTACCACTGTGATAATAAAATAAAATGAAGCGCAGCACATAACACATGGTCCTCAATAACTATCCATCCTATAACTATCCAACTATTTTCCCTATTCTTCTTAAGAGCCACAGTTCTTATTGAAATATTTTTATAATTTTAAACAAATATAATTAAGACATTGAGCCAGAGAGATAGTACAGAAAGTACAGTCGGTTGGTCACTTGCCTTGCACATTGCTGAACCAGGTTTGATCCCCAGTATCCCATACAGTTTTCTAGGCTTCACCAGAAGTGATCCCTGAGCACTGAGCCAGGAGTATACCCTGGGCAAAGCTATATGTAGCTAATACTAATAATACCATATAAAAGTATAATAATAATTATTATGAGGAAAGTCCTAATTTCCAGTTTAATCCAAAAAATATAATGGATCCCTTCAGGATATGATCAGCCTCAGTGATCATGAGGATTAGGTCAAATGATTGATCTGTATGTATCTCTAGAGAGTCTAAAGTTTGAAAACATTTCACATTATTTTGCAAGAAATGGTAGCCATTGAAGAATTTTAGGAGAGGAAGAATAACCTGTTTCAGTAAGTGACGTTGAACTGAGGTCTAAGACGGATTATAAACAAGAGATGGCGGGCGCTGCTGAAATGCCCTGAGCATGCGGTAAAGGAGATGCCAGCTGATGGGAGCCACCGTGGGCAGGTGGTCTACACTTTTCTCCTCCACTCTGGATCCCAGCAGGAGGGATGTGTGTCCCCTCAGACATGGGGCGGCATTTCTCACTGCAGAGCCTGTCCTGTAGCTGCTGGCACTGAAATGCCAGGACATGAGCAACTAGTGCCTTGCATTTGTTTTTGTGTAAAGAATTACCACGGATATAAATGCTTCTGCTGAAGATCCCTGGTGTCTTCTCACCATGAAAATGATAAATATATGAAAATAGATACTCCAGAATTACAAATTATGGTTGTAGGTGATTTTAAATGAATTTTAAGAGCAGGGAGATAGAGTGAGCGTCGAGCATATGCCTAGTGTATTCAGGCCCCGAGTTCAGTCCTCTGCATAGTGAGTGCCTCCCCCTCCCGGCCCCCAACTCCAGCCTCCTGGGTGTGGCGCTGGCTCCCCCACAACGAAGTAAAACACAACCTTGTTTGACCAAAGTTCTGTTGGACAGAAACTCTGTCCAGAGGAGCTTCTGCACCCATCCCCAGACCTGCCATGGTGGGTCCTAGAAAACTTACTTAAATAAAAAAATTAGTAATTAGAACATGCCCCTAGACTTTGCCTGACTGCTCACGAAAGAGGGGGTGGGTGACATGTATGCAAGAGTAATGTGGAATCTATGCCCGCGTCAGTCAGATTAATCAGTGGCTGAATAAATAGCAGTACTCCTACAGTAAAAATAATGTAATTTATCATAGTCATTTTGTGTATGGTAGAATATATATATATATACATTCATATCCATGTTATATTTCATAAAGATATATGAAATAGTTTTGGGTCATCAGAAAGATTCAATAGGTCTTGATGTTTGATTGAACTGTTGTAAGAACAATTTGTGTCTCCATTAAGAATGGGATTTTAAAAAAGAATAATATTGAGCTTATTTAGCACAGCGGGTAGGGCGTTTGCCTTACAAGCGGCCAACATGGCCGACCCGAGTTCGATTCCTCCACCCCTCTCGGAGAGCCCGGCAAGCTACCGAGAGTATTGGATATGCCAGACACAGTAACAACAAAGTCTCCAATGGAGACGTTACTGGGCCCGCTCGAGCAAATCGACGATCAACGGGAGAGCTTATTTTTAGAAAGAATTATATTGAGCTTGTTCTTTTGGTATCGTTAATATTGGGCTATGCTAAGGATAAAAGAATTCTCTATTTCTCTCTTGTTCGTGCTGTAGGTACGAAGCCCCACAGATCGCCTTACGTTGTGGGATCATGCTGAGAGAATGTATTCGATACGAGCCGCTTGCCAAAATCATCCTCTTTTCTAATCAGTTCAGAGATTTCTTTAAGTATGTGGAGTTGTTAACATTTGATATTGCTTCAGATGCCTTTGCTACTTTTAAGGTAATTTAAAATTTTTTTCTGTGTCAGCTAAGTGTTGTGCATTTAGTTTTAAAATCAATAATGACTTCTGAGAGGCAAGTTGATTTTTTTTTTTTAATTGAATCACCATGAGGTACAGTTACAGACTTACAAACTTTCATGATTACGGTTCAGTTACATGATGAACCAGTGCCCATTCTCCACCACCAATGTTCCCTTCCACCACCCCACCCTTTCCACCCCCTGCCTCTGTGGCAGGCACATTGCCTCTTACTCTCTCTCTCCTTTTGGGTGTTGTCATTTTGCAATACAGGTGCTAAGAGACCATCGTGTTTGGTCCTTTTATCTATTTTCAGCACACATCTCCTATCCCAAGCGATCCCTCCATTCATCATTTTTCTTAGTAATCCCTTCACTGTCCCAACTGTCTTTTCCCCAAGCATGTAAGGTCAGTTTCCAAGCCATGGTGTGATCCTCCTGGTCCTTATCTCTACTGTCCTTAGGTGTTACTCTCATATTATGTTACTTTATATTCCACAAATGAGTGCAGTCACCTTATATCTGTCCCTGTCTTTCTGACTCCTTTCCCTCCTTTCATCCCTCTATTCCCCCCTTCCTTCCTTCCTTTTCTTTTTCTTAATAGAATCGCCGTGAGATATAGTTACAAGCTTTCATGTTTGAGTTTCAGCCATATAATGATCAAACACCCATCCCTCCACCTGTGCACATTCTCCACCACCAATGTCCAACTCTCCCCCTGCCTAGAATCTTATCCTATTTTATTTTTGGTTTTTTTTTTTTTGTTGTTGTTGTTGTTGTTTTTAACCCATTTCAAATTGTGTTGTTTGTTTTTTACTTGGGAGCCATAGTTGGTGGTGTTCTGGCCAGACTCCTGGCTCTACCCTCAGGTGGTACCAGGGATTGTACTCCGGTCAGCCATGTGCAAGACAAGCATCCTTTGCCGTCTCTCTGACACCCCGGATCCCCTTAGTGCTTGCAGGACCTGTGTTCTCCAGGCTGTTTAGTGCCATATATGCTGAGTGGACAGGAACTTCCCGGGAAACCCTCATCTGCTGGCCGCATTCATACAAGCTGGCGGCTATTGTACCAGCTTGAGCACTGCCTGTGAGCAGCCATCCTTGCCTCTTTACAGCCAGGGCCACTTGCTCAGGAGTTGAGGAAGGGGTTGTCTGAAAACTGGGCATCCCAAATATCCACTCAGAAAAACTTAGGGTCCCCACTGTAGGTGTGGAATTAATTTAGTGGTCCCCTGCTGAAGGATCAGGTTTGCAGTTTGACCTCAAGATGCCAAGAGTGTACCCCTATAGAGGGCTCTCCATTGTTTAATTCCGGTTCCAGAATTGTCCATCCCACTGGGCATGAGGCGGGGGCGGCAAGGAGGAAGTTCCCTTTGGGGGCTGGAGAGAGGTGGTCCAAGAGATAAGGCGTGTGGCCATGCGCCTGGCCCTCCATTATATGCCTGAAATTCAGCGATAAACTTGTGCCCCACCAAGAGTATCCCCAGAGCACAGAGCCAAGAGAAATCCCTGAGCCTACTCGAATAGAAACCCCACCCCTTGTGCTTTAAATATTTGGCTTTTTATTGAAAAAAAAGAAGTGGGTTTTACCATTGCTTCTGCCTTTTCTCGACAAGCTTATGTTATATATAAGCTTATAGGAGGTTTTAATTAAATATGTATTAAAGTTTAAGAATTTCTTTTGGAAAACTTGAAGAAAAAAGTTCTTGTTCCGGTTCTTAATTAAATTCTGCACGGTACCTCGACAGGGTATTCAGCGTCTAAGCATCTAAGAAAGGATTAGGAGAGGCTTGTTTTCTTTCAGCGTTAAGGCGAATTAAGGATATAATTGAGGTGTGAGTTGAAGACAGTTCAAACGCTTCTGTGTTTGTGCAGTTTTCTGTGTTCATGTCTGTAATCAGATAGAGCTGCTTGTGCTCAACTATGAAAGGCTTCGTTGTGCTCCCTCATGGTCCCTTGCAGCCCATTAGCCCGAGAGCAGGACCGGCTTGAGGTGACCCTATGAAATGTCACTCCTGCTCCTCCTTCCTTAAGCTGGAGACGCTGGTGGAGAGAAGTTGACACTGGTGGTGGGATTGATTGCTGCTGGACCATTATATGCCTAAAACTCAACTCTAACTAATTTTGTAAATCACAGTGCCTTAGTAAACACCTTTTAAAAAATAAAATAATACAAAGAAAACAGTTAAGAAACAACTATTTTTGTACGAGGGATGGGTTGAGGCTATGTAGAATTATTTTTCAGAAACAGTGACTTTTTTTTTAAGTTCATCACCAACTTTTTTTTTTCTATCATAATCACAATGTAGAGTTATGGTTTTAAAAATGCACTGTAAACTCATCTCTCAGGAGTCATTTGTTTCACTACCATCAGTCCAGTCATGGTAGAAAAAAATTAAAACGCGATGGGGTATTTTTTTTGTTTGTTTTGGAGCCATACCTGGCAATGCTCAGAGATTACTTCTGGCTCTGCACTCAAGAATCACTCCTGGGGCCTGGAGCAATAGCATAGTAGGTAAGGCATTTGCCTTGCACATGGCTGACCCGGGTTCGATTCCCAGCATCCCATATGGTCCCCTGAGCACCGCCAGGAATAATTTCTGAGTGCAGAGCCACGAATAACCCCTGTGCATGGCCAGGTGTGACCCCCCCCCCAAAAAAAAAGAATCACTCCTGGTGGGGCACAAGGGGATCAGGTGGGATGGGGCACAAGGGGATCAGGTGGGGTACTGGGGAACAAACTTGCATTGGCCAGGTGCAAGGCCTTATAAGTACCTTATCCTTTGTTCTATCACTTCCGCTTCAATATGCAGTGTTTTTAACATGAAGCAAAATTGTCTTTCTATCTTATCTAAGAATGGAAATTATATCGTGATAGAGATAAAAAAAATATTAAGCTGCAACTTTTGTATCACGGTCACGGTCCTCCCATTGTTCATCAATTTGCTCGAGCGGGCCCAGTAACGTCTCCTTCGTGAGACTTGTTGTTACTGTGTTTGGCATATCGAATACTTCACGGGGAGCTTGCCGGGCTCTCCGAGAGGGGCAGAGGAATCGAACTCGGGTCGGCCATGTTGGCTGCGTGCAAGGCAAACGCCCTACCTGCTGTGGTAGAGCGCATGCTTTGCATGTATGAGGCCCCGGGTTCGATCCCCGGCACCTCCACTTGTTTGGACTGGCTTTAGCCCAGTGGTTACTTCGGCGGACCACAAAGCAACTTTTGTATATTTCAAATTAATTGCCTTTTAAACCTTTGGAGAAAAAGGCAGATTTGTTAACATTTACGAACTTTAATTGCTTTAACTTGATTATTCTTTTTCAGGATTTATTAACCAGACATAAAGTGTTGGTAGCAGACTTCTTAGAACAAAATTATGACACTGTAAGTAAAAGTCACATCACACTTGATCTCATTTTCTCTTTATCTGCCATCCCTCTCCTCTTTAGATCTATAAGCACTTGTGTTTGTGATCCAGAACGCAAATCAACCATCCGCAATCATGCACCAACTTTTTTTTTTTTTTAATTTATTGAATCACTGTGGGAAAGGTTACAAAGCTTTCAGGTTTAGGTCTCAGTCATGCAAATATCAAACACATTTCCCTTTACCAATACTTATTTTTTACCATGAAGAACCCCAATAAAACCCTACCCCCCACCCCTCCCCGTCCCTGTGAGGCAGATGAATTCTAGTTAACACTCTATCTGCTTTGATTAGATTCATTGTTTCAATAAAAGATTCACCACTATTATTTAGAGTTTACCCCCCCCAAATCAGACATGCTGAAAAAGCATTGTGAAGTGATTTGCTTTCTACAGCTGGGTTCAAGAATTACCTATTGACCCTGGAAGTATTTCTACTGAAAGTCAGATAGTAAAGAAATTGGTTTCTGTGTTCTGGAGTCGTGGCCGTGCTGGAGAGCCGCTCGTGGGGGGCAACTGGTGGCCTCGGTAGGGCGTGAAGGGTGGACCGAAATGCCCCCCTTCCCATGAGGTTTTAGTCGCCCCCACACTCCCGGCTCATACCTGCTGTCCACAAGGCTCCCATGTGGCCGCCATCTTTCTTTCCAGAGAGGAGAGGGCGAATGGGGCAACACCCTTTCCCCTCCGGCAGACTTGATGATGCACCAACTTTTTAAAAAATTTTCTGGAAGCTAGGTCACCTGGAAACATTATAGAAAAGTGCAGCTGGCAGGCAGCCGGGCTTTCTCCTCTTCACATCTCCACTGTCCTCTAACGCCCCAGTTAACAGCACTGTTAAGAGCATCCATGCAGTGCTCAAACTCAAACTCCCTAATGACTTGGGGAGCACTTTACCCTCCCTGAAATAATTTCCCTTGGCTGGTACTTGTTCACTTACTAATAAAATACCAAACTTTCCCCACTCCCTTCTTTAATGGTGATTCCAACTCATCCTTTTGAAATCTGACTAAAATGTTCCCCTTTTGGAAGTTTTCCCCAATCTCATGTCACCCTTCCCAGAACTCTCTCTCCTCTCAGTCCTCCTTTCCCCACTTCTATCATCCCTTCTCTCCTCTCAGACATGTCAGTGTTCAGTCAGCAACCAGCTCAAGGTGCTGGCCTTGCACACAGCAAGTGCTCGCCCACTGCTTCCTGAAGTTGAAACAAAGCTTGATGTGCAGATCATACAAACCTGACCAACATTCTACCAGCTATCCACTCTCCACACACAGAACAATTCTTGCCTAAACAAACTTGTAAGAAAGCCACTCTAGCGGGTTCAGCTGACCTGCATGTAACACCTGATCTGGTGTTACTTTGTGTCTATATCTTCCTAACTGGTTCTTGAACAAGGCTCCATAAACAGATTTCTTTAAAATGAATTACTCATGCGACTAGAGGGCTTGTACAGGAATGAGGGCTTCCTGTGGATGCTGCGGACCTGGGTGGAATTCCTGGCATCGCCTGTGACCCCCCAAGCACTGCCAGGTGTGATCCCTTCCAGCACCCCCAACCCCAACTGAGTTATCTTGGAATTCAGCTTCCTAGATGAGTTGGTAGATGTTTCATTCAAAGTGAGTTGTTGAGAGGAATTCTTTTTTCGTTCCATTCAGTCTTCCATTTGTACAACTAAAACTCAAAATATTCTCCTTGTGTCACTTAAACTTGCTCTCCTGACTAGTGAAAGGGGGAAATGTCACCCTGTGGATCAGCCCAGGATCACACACAGAGGGAGTTGCCACACAGTGGCCGTAGTGCGGCTTGGATTTCGCTCTGAAACAAGAGAGTGGAGAAGACCTAGTGAGAGACCTCCCTGCTGGCTGTGTCACTAATGTGTACTTTCTTTTCATTAGATTTTTGAAGACTATGAGAAATTGCTTCAGTCTGAGAATTATGTGACTAAGAGACAATCTTTAAAGGTAATACCAGGTGGGGAGGGATACTGGGGACATTAGTGGTAGAAAATGTGCACTGGTGGAGGGATGGGTGTTCGATTATTCCATCACTGAAACTCAAATATAACTATAGCTCACAGTGATTCAATAAAAAAAGATTACTTAGGGGCTGGAGCGATAGCACAGTGGGTAGGGCATTTGCCTTGCATGCAGCCAACATGGCCAACACAGGTTCGATTCCCAGCATCCCATATCATCCCCCGAGCACCGCCAGGAGTGATTCCTGAGCGCATGAGCCAGGAGTAACCCCTGAGCATCGCCGGGTGTGACCCAAAAAGAAAAAAACAAGATTAATTAATTTTTAAAAAGGTAATATCAAATTTTTTTTAAAGTACCAGTCAATGATAAGAAAACTATGATTTATCTACACAATGGAATACTATGCAGCCACCAGGAGAAATAAAATTTGCTTACACATGGAGAGTATCATACTGAATGAAATAAATCAGAAGGAGAGGGACAGACGTAGAATAATTGCACTCATTTGTGGGATGTAAAAATCATATTATGAGCACGGAACCACGAGTAAGCCCTGAGTACCCTGGGTGTGGCTCAAACCCCCTCTGCTTAAATAGGTTGTCTTTTAGCCAATTTTCTGATTGTAAAGTGTCTGCTACTTACTACATTTTGTTGACTGTACTGTAAGCTTTCCTGAACTATCTTAGGAGTGCTTAGGTTTTTTAGTAACAATAAAAAACGATTTATAGATAAATTTCTTCCCATTTTGCAATTAGGCTTAACAGTTTACTTTCTTTAGAAGCCAGACATTAAATTACTATCAAGAATGATTGCAATTCAAAAGAATTTGGGGGGTTTGAGAGAGTGCGCATCAATTTCATTAACATTCCAAGGTTAAAAAAAAAAATTAGGCCCTAAACAATGGTACATTGGATAGGGTATGTGCCTTGCATGCAGCCCCCCTGAGTTCAATTCCCAACACCCCATATCGTCCCCAAGCCTACCAGAGTGATCCCTGAGAACAGATCCAGGAGTAAACCCTGATCACCGCCAAGTTTGGCCCCAAACCAAAGCAAAACAAAACAAATGGAAGGAATTTCTCCAAAATAAGTCTGAAGCATTCTCTTCATCAGAAAACAGTGTGGGACAAAATGTGAGTGTTTGGGTGTTTAAATGAACTTGATCACGCTGATAAATATTTTATGTAAAAGCATCTTGATGTACACTTTTTTAAAATACTGTTTTGTTCCTTTTTCCTGGGTAAGGCCAGAAGAGTGAGGTGCACTGGAACACACAGAGGAGGGAATGGGAGTGACTCTGGCTGCCAAGGGTTGGAAGGCCTCTCTCGGGAGTTTCATTTTCTCACTAAATCCATAGGAATCCAGGGTGGGTTTTGTGTTAACGCCCTGACTTTTTGGTGGAATCAGGAATGTGATCTTCAGGAAATCCGTCTGACTTATTTGCAGGATAGAGTGGAAGGGTAGACTGGAAGAAAGATTTTTTTTGTTTTGGTTTGGTTTGGTTTTGGTTCGGGGTAACACCTTGAGGTGCTTAGTGCTTACTCCTCACTCTGTGCTCAGGGGTCACTCCTGGTGGTGCTCAGGGGACCTTATGGTATCCTGGAGATCAAATCTGGGTCAGCCAAGTTGGAGGCAAGTGACTTCCCCCTGTACTATTGCTCCAGGCCCTGGAAGAGAGATCTCTTGACCCAGTTGCAGGAATCCAGATAGATGAAAACAAAGGTGTGAGTTTTACTGTGAATTTTCCATTTTAATGCAGGGGTAGTAAAATGGAATGAAGGGTGTTTGCTACTGAAACAGAATTGGTAATTCTTGGGTAGGGATTTGATGTGAGGGAAAGAAAAGAGCTAAGAAAGATGTCCAGCTCTCTGGCCCTGGACCCTGGCACAATAGGATATTACTGATGGAGAAAAGAAAGGGAACTGGTTTAAGCACTGTTGTAATGGACCAGCCAAGAGTTCAACCAGGGCTGCTCAGCAGGCAGTTAGGAATATGGGGATAGAGTTTAGGGAAGAGTTGAGAACAGAAATGTAGATTTCTCCATGTTATAGTTGAAGCTGTGGGCATGGGTGAGACTTTATAAAGTGGAGATACTGATGAGAGTCTCCAGTGTATAGCATGGACATTTCCTGCCTATCTAGTGCAAAAGGGAGTCAGAAGGAACAAGAATGCAATGGCCTGAAACCAAGAGCAAAAAGAGTTTCCAGGTGCAATGGGGACATCAAGGAAGATGAGTCCGTCTCAGCAGCTGGTCACTGTGGCTTGAGGAGACGCTGTGAGAAGGGGCACAGGGTGGAGCTGCCCACTCAGTGACGCTCCTGAGAGGATGTTCCACTTCTCTGACTTGGCTCCTTGCATTTTGCTTTTAAATACCCCTTTCTGTTCAGGCTACTATATTTTTTGAAATGTCACAGATGTAGGTGACATCTATATTTCTATCTCATATCTTGAGTCTGGGAAATCCAGGACGAAGGTGCCAAGAGCATCGAAGCTCTCTGGGGTGCTGATGGGGATAGTGGTCACATTCACGAGCAGATGCCTCCACGCGGGCAGGACATCAAGCACTCAGCCCGGGGCCTGGAGCAGTGCTGCCTTGAAGGAACAATTTATTTAGCAGCTGAAAAACGTTTGCTTTCATGCTTTGTAAAACATTTTTGTCTAAATGTAGGTCAGGTTTTGTGTGGGTTTTTTTGTTTGTTTGTTTGTTTGTTTCTTTATTTTTGGGTCACACCCGGCGATGCACAGGGGTTACTCCTGGCTCTGCACTCAGGAATCACCCCTGGCGGTGCTCGGGGGACCATATGGGATGCTGGAATCGAACCCGGGTTGGCCGTGTGCAAGACAAACGCCTTACCTGCTGTGCTGTTTCTCCAGCCCCCTGTAGATCAGGTTTTATAATATAAGAAAGAAGCTATTTTTTTTCTAGTAAACAACTTAAATACATCTATTCAGTAAGGGATGTTTAACTGTGATAAGTTTTGTGGTTCTTGTTGCTTTGTGGTGGTGCAGGGGGTCAGTAACTACTGGGGGAAGGCTGGGGGGGGGGGGGTCACACTGTGCTGGGGATTACCCCTAGCTGTGCTGGAGGTAATGCTCAAGACCATACACTTTGTAAGACATGTCTTGTGGGACAGAGCTCTGTGCCCTAATCTACCCATCTTATTTCAATGCCCAAGAAAGCCATTTCCTCCCAAGAAAGGGAATCAAGAAAATGAAAGTAAGCAGCAAAAAATAAATTCGCAATAGCCAGCCCCCAAACCTGGCATTATTATACTCTGTAGCTGGGAACCCAGGGTTTGAGCCCAAGTACTGCGGGCTCCCTGGAGCATGCAGTGGCCCTGAGTGCCATGGGCCTGGCTCCCAAACCCAGAGAAACCCCATTAGCGACTTCTTTCCTTGCCTGAGCCGCAAAGTGCTCTGCATGCAAGCAGCCTTTGTCACACCTGTTAACATTTCTGAGAGAAATGAGATGCATTTTGTCCAAGGTGACTCCCGGGCAGAGTGTAACGCAACCGTGTGTTTCTTGCAGCTGCTCGGGGAACTGATCCTGGACCGCCACAACTTTGCCATCATGACCAAGTACATCAGCAAGCCTGAGAACCTCAAGCTGATGATGAACCTCCTTCGAGACAAGAGTCCCAACATTCAGTTTGAAGCCTTCCATGTCTTCAAGGTAAAAACCCAAGTAGCAGAGATATGTCACTGGGTCACTGCTGTCTAGTTTCAAGGGCAGATTCCCTGCATTTTTACTCTCCCCCCAATCCTAAGGAGAAAATTAAGACGCACAGGCATTTTGTTTTCTATGACTTAGATGAAATTTTAGATTCCGTTTAATGAATGCCCTTTTGTCGAAGGTTTGCAAACTAGTCCCTATCTCTAAATATTTTCTCTGAGAAAACAGACGGATGCTGTTTCCCAAGTGGCTGAAACAGTCCGAGAAGGAGCCTGGCCTGAATCTGTGTTGGGATTCGCAGACCTTGTTTTCTGCTCACTACTCTCTCTGAATCAGCGAAGCCCTAAAGAAACGTCTTGGTACTCACGTCCACTACTTGCGTAGAGGGGAGAATGAGAGGGGCTCGGCTGGGGCGTCATGGCATCTGCCAGCCCTCCCGCCAAGTCTCAGCCAACCAGGTCAACTCGGGCCCAGATGCGGGACATCGGGCTGCCCCTTAGTCCCTACGAGCCTCCAACACAACCTGGTGGCACTTGGGGAGCCTCTTGGGCTACACCCATAGATGCTTGATGCTTGGGGGTGGGGGAGTCCAGGCCATGCCAGGGATTGAACCAGAGATCCACCCAGGTGCAGGGCAAGAACCTAACCCCTGTCCTAGCTCCCAGGCCCAGGCAATGCAGATCTTAAGAGCACTTATTTAGTTTGAAAACACTATGTACGGATTTCTGTGTGTACAGTTCACTTCTATCACTCGTCATCCCATTAATCTTCGATTTGTTAGAGCGGGAGCCAGTAACGTCTCTATTCGTCCCTGTCAAATGTTAGTATAGCCCAGTGGCATCTGCTTGCTCCAGAAACACAAAGAGCCTCAAACCGTTTGGAAGAGCCTCAAACCATTTGATTGTTTTTACTGTTTTTGGCATATTGAATACGCCACGGGTAGCTTGCCGGACTCTCCAAGAGGGATGGAGGCTTTTAGGGCGGCCTCCAATCATCCTTCCAGGTGTTCCCAGGTGAACCACATCAAATATGGTGGGTGCAGTAATCATGGAAAATGGATATTAAGTGTCTTATGATGTGCCCGGAAAGCATCTTGGAGAGTGGCAGTGGCTGGGTAGTAGAGGTAGTGGATGTCAGCTGATGAGGTATTTACCTGGCACTGGCAGGGTGGGTCTTCTGGGGGTAATCTCTGGCGGTCGCTGGGGATTGGTAGAAGCAGACAGAGGATCTCAGTTTCCAGGTCCCATTGAGCCTGGAGTCCAAGGTCACAAAGTTTTGCATTACCTGGTTCTGTGGGGCTTCACTCATGCGTGAGGCTCAGCCCAAGCGTCTGAAAAGTGGTCTGGAGTGTGGTGGTGGCTGGGTAGTGTGTACAATACTGGGTAGTGTGTACTATAACTGTGAGTACAGATAGAGTATAAAAATATGCCTGGGGATAATCGGTACCAGGTTCAGGAGAGATACTGAGGAGAAGGAGAGGCAAGAGAATAATTCCACGCTGTGTGCTACAGTCTTTAATTACACCTGTGGTGCTCCATTTTGTTAAAAAATTGACAGGCACGTCTAGGGAGATGTTCAATTTTGATAGCGCTAAGAATGGGAACACGAAGTGTGATCTGGATTCCCTGCACTGCTCTCTGTTAGAATTATTTCATAAGAAATGAACAAAATGGAACCAAAGTACGGTTATAAGTGTAGGAAATAGCTCCACAGTATGGGCATGCCCAAGCCTTCTGCAGACAGGAATTACAGGGAGCGTGTCACAGCCTGGGCTCTCCAAATGTAACATTTCTCCATAACATTTGACATACTTTCATTCCAAAAGAAGATGCAGGGGCTGGAGCGATAGTACAGCAGGTAGGGCATTTGCCTTGCACGTGGCCAACCCGGGTTCGATTCCCAGCATCTCATATACTCCCCCGAGCACCACCAGGAGTAATTCCTGAGTGCAGAGCCAGGAGGAACCCCTGAGCATCGCTGGGTGTGACCCAAAAAGCAAAAAAAAAAAAGAAAAAACATGCAGTGGATGACAAAACAGAAGTTGTCTCCTTCATTTTCCAGGAGGAGCAGAATTTAGTCATCTGATTGGACAAAGGAGGCGCTTTTAAAAGTAGCCGCCCGCCTGTTTGCTTGCACGGGTGTGAGCAGTTTGCCCCCTTGGCCCAGCTCCCCTCTTCCTCTGCGGAATGAACTAAGTTCTTGACTTGCAACAAATAATGTCTTATTATTTGGAAAAAGTGACTGCCAAGTTCCAGAGTTGTATTCAGTTTTTTTTTCCAAATGATTGTCCCCCCGCCCCCCCAAAGCCATTTTTATACGGTAAAGAAGATGTGGCACACATAATTAAAAATGTCCTTGCTGCATAGTTAGGGGCTCATTTTCATTATGTGCCTATAAGTTCCAAAGAATCCAGTGAGGTGCCTGCATGTATTTCCTGCGGTGGGCCAGTGGTGGCTGGCGGGGCAGTGCTGTCTGGTGGAGGGGACTCTGGCTGTTTGGCTCATTTTCCATCTGGATCCATTTCCTCACTGGCTAGAGGAAAGGGTTAAAGGGCTGGAGTCCAATGTGACTGCTCAGTCCAGGAGGCCGTTGGTGACTCACTGTCTCTGAGTTCAGCTCTCCCAGATGGAGCCCGAGTGTATGCAGGAAGTGACCCCTAGTGACCCTTTCCCTTGTCTCTTAGCCTCTTTCCTAGCAGAGGACCATGTAGGGGTGAAGGATGGCCTGTGTTTTGAGGCTCACTTCTCCTCGCCACTGGGACTGAGGCATGACCACTGCCCTCGGTGGTGTCCCGAGTGTGTTACTGTCACTTGGACCCAGCCATTGACTGCAGCAGCGATTTCCATGGGAACAAGGAGCGTGGCTTTACAACATTTCACCTAGAAATGTGCTCGGGACAAGTAAAATCCTGTGGAATGGTTTCTATGTGAGTTACTGAAAAGAAGATGAATCACATATTAAACTGTGACTGGCTAACTATGGAGAATCCAGGTCCTTAAGGACCCATTTTCCAGTATGCTGATTTAGTCCTGATGAACCATGGCTAAGTCTCCTGGAGGAAGGAACTGAGACAAAATGAAATTATTAGGGGTCAGCTGTGAGCTGATTTTCTAATTGTCATCCCAGAAATTTTAGCAGTAGAGTGAAAAAGTGTTTATCAACTGCCAATGTAATGTTTCATCGACTACTTTAAAATAGTGAAGAATGTTAAATTTATATATATTTATTTGATCGCATTGTGCCCATTTTGTTTTTTACTTTTCTTTTGATTCTTTGCTTTGGGGGCACCCATGGGAGGGCTTCCCCGGGCACTTCACATGGAGTTGCTCCAAGCAGTGCTCTGGGGAGCACCGAGGCCTCCTGTATGGAGCATGTGGCCTTCAGGCCTGAGCTCTCGCTCTAGCCTCTGGACCAGTTCTCTCTTTAACACAGTGGCAGAGGGAAAAATGAAAAGCTGTAATTCAGATTGCTTCTTTACTTGTTGAGATAGTGCATAACTCATGCCTCAAAGATCACCTTGCTGCTGCATAGTTTAATTAGAAATATTTTGAGAGTGGGGTAAAGAGATAGTTCAGGAATTAAGGCACTCTCCTTGGAGGCAGCTGACCAAGGTTTGAATCCCTGGCCCCCGCACATGGCCCCCCAAACACCAGCAGTAATCCCTAAGCAAAGAGCCCGCAGTAAGCCCTGAGCGGGACCAAATATGACACCCACCCAGAAAAGGGGAATCGGGGGAATTCAGTGGTATATGAGGAAAAGTTGAGTATTTTTTTAATTGTTATCTTTACATATGATTTTGGAATACATAATTTCTGCAGTAATATGCCGTTTGAGACTTGAATTCCAAAATACCAAAGCAATGATAATAATAGCTATTTCTGTTATTATAGCACTGACTATACCTTAAATGTTGAGTCACTTCATGTAAGAAGCTCTAAGTGTTACAGATAGCGGAGGGGGCTGTTACAAACCACTATGGACAAAATACAAGCTTGATTTTGTGTAGAATAGGTGCGCAGGGAGAAAATGCTGGAAAGGTAACACCAGATACTCACAGTGCTTATTCCTGGATGGAATAACTAAGTGATTTTCTTTTTAAATTTCTTGTTGGAGTCTGCGTTCCTCTGTGCGGCTGGTCTTCCACCAGGATCACTTTCCTCTGAGGGTACGAATGATGGCAGTTGAAGAGGAGGGTTTGAGGAGATTCTTGGTTCTTTGTTTTGGTTTGGGAGTCACACCTGGTGGTGCTCTGGGGTGACCTGGTGCCGGGGATTCGAACCAGGACCATAGCTGTTGTGGTCACACACAAGCCAAGTATCTCAGCTCCTGCACTGTCTTTCCAGCCACATGGAAATTCTAGAGTTTTACAACATCTCGAACCTCTGCCTGCGCTTCCCTCCCTTCCAGATCCTTCCTGGACAGGCAACAGAGCTCACTCAGATCCTGTATGAGCTCACTGGTGCTCAGACACCACTAGCTGGCGAGGCAAGAATCAGGTCTTTTCTTTGGAGGGGGGGCGGGGATGTTGGTTTCAGGAGCCACGCCCAGCGATGCTCTGGGGTTACTTGTAGCTCTGCACCCAGAAGTGCATGGGGAACCATATGGGATGCCAGGGAATCCAACCCAGTTTGGCCGGGCACAAAGAAAATGCCCTACCCACTGTACTATCGCTCCAGCCCCAAGAATCATGTCCTTTCTTAATCAGGAAAAAAATTACTCTGAGCAGTACAAGAAAGTAACTGAAAAGTATCTGAATGTCATATTGCTCACTCATATTTATTTGAAGTGGGGATCCTTGGGAATAAAAAAGTCCTGTCTTATACTTGCAGGGATTTTGCTTGGTTTTGAACAGGGTTTTGCTTTGAATCATGAACTTCCATGTAGCTGTGCCAAGAGCCCCTGTCCATATATATACAAAGCTTTCCAGCCTTGCACTAGACTAGCTTTCTGTAACGTGGTCTGCTACAAAATACAATTGAATGAATCAGATGGAAAAATAT